ACAAATCTCCCAAATCCCAAATCTCTCTAATTTCAAATCTCCCAGATCCCAACTCTCCCAAATCCCAAATCTCCCAAATTCCAAATTTCACAAATTCCAACTTTCTCAAATTCCAAATATCCCAAATCCCAAATCTCTCAAATCCCAAATCTCCCAAATTCCAAATCTCACAAATCCCAAATCTCCCAAATGCCAAATCACCCAAATCCTAAATCTCTCAAGTCCCAACTCTCTCAAATCCCAAATCTCCCAAATCCCAAATCTCTCAAATCCCAAATCTCCCAAGTTCCAAATCTCCTAAATCCCAAATCTCCCAAATTCCAAATCTCCCAAATGCCAAATCACCCAAATCCTAAATCTCTCAAGTCCCAATTCTCTCACATCCCAAATCTCCCAAATTCCAACTCTCCCAAATCCCACCTCTCCCAAATCCCACCTCTCCCAAATCCCACCTCTCCCAAATCCCACCTCTCCCAAATCCCACCTCTCCCAAATCCCACCTCTCCCAAATCCCACCTCTCCCAAATCCCACCTCTCCCAAATCCCACCTCTCCCAAATCCCACCTCTCCCAAATCCCACCTCTCCCAAATCCCACCTCTCCCAAATCCCACCTCTCCCAAATCCCACCTCTCCCAAATCCCACCTCTCCCAAATCCCACCTCTCCCAAATCCCACCTCTCCCAAATCCCACCTCTCCCAAATCCCACCTCTCCCAAATCCCACCTCTCCCAAATCCCACCTCTCCCAAATCCCACCTCTCCCAAATCCCACCTCTCCCAAATCCCACCTCTCCCAAATCCCACTTCTCTCACATCCCAAATCTCCCAAATTCCAACTCTCCCAAATCCCACCTCTCCCAAATCCCACCTCTCCCAAATCCCAAATCTCCCTATTTCCCAAATCCCAATTTCCCCATTGCAGATCCTTAACACTAATACAACAAAAACCCTAGTCACAAACATTATCAGATGACCTATCTTTCACTCTCCTAAAATCTCCCTAAGATCTCTCACATAAAACCTAAAATCACCACCCTCTATCTCTCACCCTAAAACCTTCAAAGATTTTAGCCTCATCTCTCTCATGAACCTAGCCTCTTTAAAATAATGCATAACAAACTCAGAACAGTCAATTAAAAGTCTAATGAGACACTCCTTTAGACTACATCGCTTTTGAACTAAGAAAAGCATATACTGCACCCGAGTGTACACGTTCATTATACCGAAATACAAATTCGAGCATGCAAAGAAAAAGAGGAACAAGTACGTGTCTCTTTAGGCACGTGTTCTTAAGTCAAAGCACGGTAATGAAAGCAGTTATTCAAGTGAAATGCAATCATATCCTTTAGAATAATGAATAGCAAGATTTCCTCGACGAGAGTGGAGCCCGAACTCGGTTGTTACCGTATTTTCCCTATTTAAGCATACGTGAACAACATAATTATGGACGAGCCACTTAATGGTATAACTTGAGGCTCGTTGGGCTTGACAGTTCGAATGGAAAACTGGTGACGTTTCGTATGAATCCAGTAAAAACGAATGTGGAACGGATCGTCGTAAAAAAAACTTGCATTTCCATTTTGGAAATCTATTTGTACACTGCGTCCTACTTTAACTTAAATACTTAGCTTAGGTACGTCTTTAGTTTCGAAAACTTTTATGTTGATATAAGATTTCGTTGAGTACCTTTGTTAGTTAAATTTCAGTGATATATATTTTTAAATTATGTTGGTACTTTATTTCGGAGAATTCAATGTTTGTGCAATATAATCTGTGGTGATGATCAGATTTCTTCATTTGTAATTTTTTAAATGACCAGATTTCTGTATTTCTAAGTTTCTCAAGGTCTACATATGAAAATTGAAAAGTTCCAGAATTTAGAAATGTGGGAATTTAAAAATTGAAAATTTGCCAATTATCGAAATACGAAAGTGCCACTAGGGAATACCCGATTAGCAATATAAATAGGTCATATATCGAGATTTCGCTAGTTCGATTGGAAAGCGAGCAAATCATGCGGTTATTATTATTTGTATCCGGCTGTACATAATCAGGATGAGCAGACATTACGTAGTCACAGCACAAAAATCACCCACAATGACATGATTATGAATGTATCCCGTGCAATAAATTCTCATGAATTTGATGCTCGTTTCCTGAAAGTCTCCTTACTTTGTTTCGCCGCTACTATATTTTAACGGAGTAGTCAATCTTGACGTTATGATATTTACGTAAGATTTTAAAGAGGACAGAAACTTGTCCACAAGACTCAAAGGAACTAGAAAACTAGTTAATTACAGTTGGAGTAATTAATGATAATGACAGGATGTCGTATCTGCAAAATGAATGTTTGATAAAGAGACTTTCATTAAACAGCATAAAACTGTGTCGAACATTAATCATTTACTTAATGTGAATGTTATTATAAATTTTCAAGTATTTATGTTGCATAATACATTGATCTGATTGTATTATTCAATGCATATCTGTTAACGTTAATCATGTGTAATACCTGTATATTATATTTGAAAGTATGTACTTTTCCGAAGTAAAAAAATATAGCAGATCAACAGGAAGCGAAATGCGTTTAGGCGGGAGAAATTGCACGATGATACAGCAGTATGGGTTAAAGTCGAAACTAGGAAGAATAAGAAGGTATGTGAAAGGCACAACACAACGATGTTTACAGTCGATAAAAAATAAAGACGTCAGTGAAAACTATAACGCACATGCTGGCTGCAACTAAACTGAAAGTAGAATATAATAAAAAATAATAATACACCACATTATAGAAAGTTAAACAGCATATAATGGACTATGTAGATTTGATAAAAAGATATAATTTACTTCAGAGGACGTTTCACCGATTTCAATGACCTGAAAATATGTTGTGAAAAACAACTTTGACAGAGAGTAACTTTTCTCTGTATCATATTTAGCAGTGATACGCGGAACTTTAATTAAATGACGTTCGCATTAGGCTATTTTGTCCGGCACTTGCCTAATCTGAACGCCCCCTTATGCAGGTTCATTGCAGCGCCATCTAATATATTACCGTTGAAGTGTAATCAATTAATTACCGACAAAATCCAGTCGGTACTTTACACGTGTTCATCATAGTTCAGCAGTTTGTTGTTAGATGGCGCTGTTAACAGCATTTGTGGCGGTTTTTTTAAAAGATTGTTTCTTTTTTGTATACTGATAGGCTCGCGATTTACGAACAATTTACATGTTACTATATAATAACAGTATACAATCATATAATTTAGTATGACGTTAACATGTTCTTACGTTACGTCACACTCGTGACGGGAAAGAACAAATTAATTGACGTTAGGTAATAAATAATTCTTCCTGCATTAGGTTTCAATAAACTAATTTTATTTTTAAAAAGTCGCTATGTATTACACAAATCCAATACTATATGAACCCAATACTATGCTTGTGAATCGGTTTTCGTCAAGCTTTGGAATTGATCGACTTTAAAAATTCGTCAGCTCTGAACTCAACGTGACAACAACAGCTGGCTGGAAATCGAAAAGATTCTTGATATATAGAACCATTCGCAGAGACCGCCATAAGTTGACGATATATGAATTTTTGTTTGCATTTCGTGTAATAGCCTTCAGCGAAACTCCCTATGACTCTGCACTTCTGTCCTTTTTCCCTAGAAAAATATAAATTTCGTAACAAATCATAATTTATCTTTACAACTTGCAGTGAACAACTCCACTATACTCACAAGCACGTTTCGATGCGCACACTTTGTTTGAAATTCTCGTGGTTCACTATGTATCTCCACTCCAAATTTTTCGTTTCACCAGATTTCGGGAATACTACTTGCTCCTAAAGCAATAGCGAAACGTTCGAATCATTAAAAAATTACGGCTAGAATTTAATTACCTTAACTATAAATATATGTTCTTTTTTCGGTTCAATCATTTACCAAAGAGAGACAAAGCGGTTCCTCGTCGAGCACGTCTTTATCTTCTTTAAGTATGTCCACCTGTTAAATAAAAATGCAAATGAATGATCATGTTTATATATGATGCAATTAATGCTTCTCTGAATACTATGCTAAACTATAGAAATCTATCCGTAACGCTTAGTGACTTTATTACCGTACAATTTTGTTGTCGTGAATGATCCATCGAAACTGAAGTTCGCAATTTATATTTTAATCCTTAATTGGCAGAATTGGCGGAAGAAAATTTTTCTCGGGCGTGGAATTTTTTAGTTTAGGAAATCTGAAAATTTAACAAACCTCATCGTTATTTTCGTAGTTGCGTAGATGAGGATTCTCTTGCAGTGCATTGATCACTATATCCGTCGGATAGTAAGGAGTAACTTCACAGTATGTTTTATTTTTGCATTTAGAAGCTACCTTAAAAAAGCAAGAATTATTATTTGAGGACTTAGAAATTTAGAAATTATTTAACAATAATCGCAAACGCAAAGAATTTTTTAAACGATTTAATTTCTTCGTAACAATCGATTACGTTCGGGAAAGACATTGAACGATACCTTGAGAAGGAAGTGACTTGCCAGATGGAATGAAGACTTTATCACGTTGACCGTACGTTTCGCACATGAGCTGCAAAAATTAAAAAATTTTATTTTTACGTGCACTGCGAAATTACTAATTACATTTAATTAAATGTAAAAATCACGAATACGCAACATCGTATAAAGACAGCGATGATGGACACAAATGTTATTATCAATTTAAATTACCAGTAAAAACACAAATGTGACAGTAGACATTTCAATGGCTCAACTCTGTTGTCTTCCACGACTACGTATCATCAAAAATACTATAAACTTCTAATTTGGAAATAAATATAGATAAAAATCGGAAGACGTCTAATCTTATCTGCGAATTCTACAAATACAGATTACCTAGATTATTAGGTAAAAATATTATAACGTTAAAAATCGGTAATGCACAAAAAAAAAATTGAAATGATACATTTAATAAATTAATTATTTAAAGGTAATCCCACCGTCAAAAATATTCCGCTCAATTGTGTTTTGTTTCGTCATACGCGTAGATAATGCGAATCTCATTGTTGTTCTAATCTCTTTTCTTTGAACAAATTGTTTATTATCTGCGAATCAATTTCTTTATTGCGTGACAGAAATAGCAGAAATCTTCTCTCTTCTTGTCGTGTTTGGAATTCTATTGACGATTATGTTCGTTTAAGAAATTATTTATTTTGAGTTACTTATGAAAAATGATTGTCTTATTAAAAGACAAGAAGCTTACTGATTTGCTTTTCAACGATTGATCTGGTTCATAACGACGCGATGTAACTTTATATCAATAAAAGCAGATTATATCGCTTTCTACGATTTATGTTCTTTACCTGAGTCCAATAAGAAAGCTGAAAATAAATTTGATATTTGCGAATTTATTATAAAGCAAGCATTCAAGAGACCGATATAAAACGTTCATTACTTTATATTTTATTTTTAACATTGGAAAAGTCTCATTAAATTATTCGGGTCTTTGAAAGTTTGAAAATGGAGTTGATTGTAATACAACGAGAATTGTATACATAACATACATAAAATCAATCCTAACATGTTGAAAGTGTACCAAATAAAAGATCACTGGATACATTCATTAAACATCGAATAATTGATTGATTGTTAAAACTATGACGTCGATTGCTGTGGTCATTCGCCCCTCGTTCATCACGAACGTTGCAGCTCGTTCAACGAGAGACATACTCGTCGATTAAACAGTTTCGTTCGTCCTGCGCGTTTGCGATGTTCATGACAAACAAGCTATATACCTGGTGATATTTTATTTTATATACTTCCTGTATCATCAGTTCTTCTCTTTATTCATATATTTTTGATCACCCTATAGGTGGCTAGCCGAGTTGAAGACGTATTACAGTATAACAACTCTATGCGAAAATCAGTCTAGTGAAGTTAGACGAGTTGAGCAAAATGAGTATGTTCTCTTGGACTAAAAAAACTCGTTCTCCGAGAACGAATCGTTGAAGTGTAGGGAAAAACGGGTAACATTTGCTTCATCAAATATCCCTAGGAAAAGCGAAGTATAGACACCAAAGTGAAGTAAACCACGGTTACTGGCGTTAAACTGCTTCAGATCAGTGGATTTTGCATTGCGTCCAAAGAAAATCAGAAAGAATGTCGAAGAGGAATCCAGGGGACGAATATAGAAAAGGTTTTATTCATTTTATTTATAATCGTATCGATTACATTAGGTAAAATGAACATTTACTTCGTATCTTGCAGAACGTGTACAGTACTCTTCTCTTGATTTGTTTTCGTTATTGATTTCATGTCTACAGTCTCTGATCGTGGAAACAAAAATGTTTTAAATATATAGCTTATAGAATTGATTGTGAAACAGTTATAACAGAAAGCAATGTTCTTTGAATCATATTTCATTGTCTAAAACTTGTTTCTTACTTTTCATGTGCCATTTTCGGGTGTACGCATCCTGCAACCATGTCCCAAAGGATGCAACATATTAGTAAAAACGGAATGAATGTTAACCTTATGTAATAAAATTATCAAGTAAATATATACTGTTCTCTGTATCGTTATAAATATTTTCAGAAACATGTATGTTATGTACAAACTTGTTTATTCATTGTCAGTTGTTAACTTCATTTACTTTAAATCAATTCTAAAATTACAAGAAATCTCTACTAAGCATGTTGCTTAAATAATTCCGGTTAAAGAAATAATGTTGTTTAACTTGATCTGAACTTTGCCAGTGTTTGACGTTGTCAGGGTCAAGTGTGTACAGAGCAGAGGACTCCAGAGGCGATGACAGAGGAAGGGATCGTTCTCCACTTAGGTCAGATGATCGTTGTGAAGCTACCAATTACAGTCAGACTGATGCAAAGAAACAGAAGCTGACATTTGCATTTGGGAAGAAAGGTGGAATGGAACAGCAAAAGAAGGGGATTCAAATTAAATTAGGATCAACGTCTGTAAGTAAATATTATGTATAGAAAGATATAAGCATGTATTGTTTCTTATGAGACTATTTTACAGAAACCTACTGTAAAAGCAACACCAGTACAGAGGCCAACAGTAGCATCTGTATTTAATGCAGATGAAGAGGAAGAACCTGAAGAAATGCCAGCTGAAGCAAGGATGAGGATGAGAAATATTGGTCGTGAAACACCAACCTCTGCAGGACCAAATTCTTTTGGTAAAACAAAGCAAGGATTTTGTGATTCAAAAAAGATATTTGAAAAGACGCTCAAAAAGGCAATGGAAGAAGCAAATAAATGATTTCTTTCTTCCTATATTTGGCAATTATTGTTAATTATATTAATTTTACATGAAATGCAACAATTAATAGCGAGATCCTTGGTATGATTATATGCAAATATTTTTATCAATTTTATGCAGAAACTAGATATGAAGTTCTGCTTCGTATTTAACATCACATTTTTCAGAAATTGACTAAATATTAGCTACTTGTTAATTGTAGCTAATATTAAGACTGCACTTAAAATGTACCATTTCGTTGTATAAGTGTAAATTATGCGGACATACGTATGTACATGTAATCAAATTGTGACATGATCCTTACATTGTTCCAATTACCATTGCATTAATTTCAAATTAATTACTATTAAATTGAGAAATAACTCTTTAAAGATTATAGAAAAGGAATAAAATAATTTATCTTGTAACTTATAAACTGTATAATATAAATAAATATCTCATGATATTGATTTTGTTCTTTATTTTTATTTAAAAATTACATAGTATATTACTTCCTGTTTTGCTGGCCCTGGCGTAAATCCTAAACAGAAAAATATTGAAAAATATATATATAGTAATGTTAATATTCAATGCATTCTCATATGATAATTTTGTAGGATAATTACCCTAGGGAAATTACGGACTGGTGGAGTTCTAATACGGCGGTTCGCTTTAGATCTATTGCGAACTACTTTAGAGTGAATAGCACAAGAAACACAGTAGTGTAACTTGGCATATAATTTTGGAAGCTGGTATGCCGAATAAAAACTAGCTTCTGTTATATCTCTGACAGCAGCTGCTTCTACAATGTTTCGGATAACAAACTTCTTAATTGCCTTATCCTTTGGTACGCATCGTGCACAATTGGTACAACGAACTGGATTCACATGGCCTCTGCCATGCTTAGCACGTCCACCGTTTCTGCGCTTGCAAGTCTGCAAAATACAAAACAAAATAGCAATTAATGATGAGAATGAATGTTTATAATTACTCATTTAAGCAAACAATATTTATCATAATAATTAAATATTATATTTCTCTTATGTGAATACTTTTGGCGAATGTTCTACAATTGTTGAGATTATTGTGCTTATAAAAATTCATAATTTATTAAACTAGCACTACTGGTATTATAGAAAAAGGTTAAGTATATTAGTTTGACAACATCCAAATCACAATCCTAATATTTAAATTTTATACACTTTATATACATCATTGGTAACAGTTATTTGTCATTTTTAAAAATTTTAGAACTATAAATAAATATTCGAGGATTATAAAATGTGGTAACCACATGGTCTGTAACCATTTAACTCAATATTTCACAAACATATCACTGTTTTTTATCCAACACATAATTTGAAAATAAATTTTGTATTATTTTCTCATTAAAGTCATACAGTATAGAACTATATTGTGGGTAATATAATAGAACTAAAGAAATTGTAAATGATAAATAAGAAATAGTTACCATTTTGTCTCGTTAGCTACAGAAGAAGGATCAAAAAAGTGTTCTATGGATAACCTGTGAAGTTGATGAGTCAAATCAGACTACTTCCGGTTTTTAAGATTTATAAAATGTATATTTTGTACATGTTATATACTTGTACAATTTTTATTAATTAATTTAATATGCGTGTCAGTGATAAAGTTTGCATATTTAGAAATTTAGAATGTTGTAAATTTGAACATTTTGAGATTTAGAAATTTAAGAATTTGGAAATTCATGGACTTGATATTATGTATTGAGTAGAAACATAAATTATTAAAGTAGAAAGTTAAGAACAATGTATATTTATGTCATATATATCTTTTGATACTATGCAATAGATACATGAATATCTGCAATTGTTTTTAAATATAACATTTATATTTATAAATGACATCAAATGCAAAGCAAATACAGAAGTTATTTACTAAGTAGTATAAAACATTGTTAAGTAGAATATATTAAACATATCATACAAAAATAATAAAAATATGTATGCATTCTTTTAATTTGTATAATAAATTCTGTATTGGACGCTAACAAATCAAAAGGTTGAGATGAAGTTGTGCCCTCTAATGGTAACATTTTGAACTAAACAACCATATCAAACTGAAAAACAAGTGTTTCAGATGTAGTGTATTCGCCATTTTGAATTGGAGTCGTACGCGAAACGTTGTGTATGTGTACAAAAGCGACTCTGCACATTCAAAAACAAATATAGTATATTAGTTTTAAGACATCAAGAAGCAATAAACAATGGCAGAATATTTAGCATCGATATTTGGCACAGAAAAAGACAAGTAATATCAAATTTGAAATCTGTGAATGTTTAAATTTTTCTCACTAAACACCAGCAATATTAAGTTCTTTTATTATTACAGAGTAAACTGTTCGTTTTATTTCAAAATTGGTGCCTGCCGACACGGAGATCGATGTTCAAGAATTCACAATAAACCAACATTCAGTCAGGTAAGAATTCTTCAGTTATATTAAATTTACCTAAAGTTGTATAAACGCTATTATTTCAGACATGTTTACTGCAAAACCTTTATGTAAATCCTCAAAATTCAGCAAAAAGTGCGGATGGATCTCACTGTGAGTAATATATTTATTTAAATTATATTTTACTTAATAAATCAGTTGTAATCATTGTATAAATATTTTGGTAGTGGTGGCAAATGTATCCGATGAGGAAATGCAAGAACATTATGACAATTTTTTTGAAGATGTTTTTGTTGAATGCGAAGATAAGTATGGTGAAATAGAAGAAATGAATGTATGCGATAATCTTGGTGATCATTTAGTTGGAAATGTTTACATCAAATTTCGAAGAGAAGAGGATGCTGAAAGAGCTGTAAATGATTTAAATAATAGATGGTTTGGTGGTAGACCAGTTTATGCTGAACTATCTCCAGTTACTGACTTTAGAGAAGCTTGCTGTCGTCAATATGAAATGGGGTATATATTATCTATATCTTTTCATCTTTATTAATAATATATAGTATTTAGTACAGTACAATTTTGCTATATGGCATTGATCAGGGCTACAGGAATATAATTGCAGGAACAAGCATATGAATGAATCTCGTAGTATTTAAATAATAAAACTCTGTTATTAAAATATTTAAAAATGGTTAAACTTTTAATTTTCTGGAAATGACCACAGAGGTAGCTATAAAGCAAGAGTGCACTGTATATAACTTTTAAATCCAAAATACTTAATTGGATACTGCTATAGATTTTTATTTCTACATAATAAATTTATTCTATGTATCACAAATTTAAATCTTGAAATAATTAAGATACTAAATATAGAACTTAATTGTTTCAGTGAATGTACACGGTCAGGATTCTGTAATTTCATGCACTTAAAGCCAATTTCACGAGAATTACGACGTTATTTGTATAGCCGAAAGAAAGGTGGTAAAGGTCGATCAAGATCACGTTCACGATCTCGTGGGCGTGATCGCAAACGAAGATCACGATCTCGTGACAGGAGATCTAGATCTAAAGATCGTCGAAAAGGTAGAGATGATAAGGGTAGAGATGGACGATCCGGACGGTATTAAGTGTATTATTTTTCGGTTATAATAATCCTTTATAATAAAATAGTTTAAATTGATTCATCAATTCTTTGACTGTTTCGTCAAAGATAACGTGTTTATTAATGTTTTACTTTCATTTATTAACTATTAGTCAAACATGTACCCTATATTCAAAAATATGAAATTCTTTCAAGCAATGATAACTTTTAAGAACTACAATCTTTTTAAAAAAATAATATAATTTGATACACGCATAACTGTTCTCCATATGTGATGATTAAAGAGTTGCTGTAACATAAAGTTATGCATTGTGGAATTAGAGCAAAATTAAAAATAGTAAGAACTATTTGTTTGTGTTATAATAATGTAATTATAATTTGTGTGACAAAAATAAATTGTCATTTAAATTTGTATAAATTGCTTTGTACTCCGGATGTAAAATGAATTCTTGTAATTTTTAATGCATCAATGAACTTTCATCTAGTATATGTAAATTATAACTGAATATAATTATCACGATATAAAAAAATTTTGCATGTATAATGATAAGAATAAAAAAAATTAAAAAATAACACTTTCTTCTTTTTAAACATAGCAATATAAATTTTACCTTCAAATTGGTAAGATTTGAATACAAGAAAAATTACTTTTATGTACTTCAAACTATATTTAAGCTTACTTCCAGCAGGAAGCAATAATTACAATATACAAAAGATTGTGTTAAATGCTCACGATATAAATGTTGGTAAAAACTATGTATATATATATTCATAAACTATTACCAGATCAAATGTTTAGAAAGACTTTTGTTTTATCATCAGACAATAATAACTAAATTTCTTTCAAGTTTCTATTTGTAAATACCTATGTATTTCAAAATTATGTAGGCCAAATTACTGAATATGCTAAATTCAAGATGAAATTATGTTAATTTCGCAATATTTTATTAAAAAATGAATTGATAAATTTAAAATCTTGTCAGCTCACACCTTACATAATAAAGAATACAAAAAATTATTGAAATATACAAAACAAATAAAAGTTAAAACTTATTTAGTAAAACAGAAATTGAAAATTGTAACATTATATGGCAGTTTATACGTTTATTTAAACTGCCTTAAAACATTTCAAGCTATTTGCTTACTTTTTTAGCAAATACATTTATAAAGAAAATAAATGTATTTAACTGTAAATTGATTTTTATGAAAGAATATACTTTACAGAACTGAAATAAATTATCCAAATTTTTTTATAAATAATGTCAGAATCATTATGTAAACTGAATTATAGACATACGTGTTAATATTATAGCTGCATGTATAAAATTGTGATATGCGATTATTAATGAATAACGATATAATGAGATGCACGCAATCGCCATTTAATACAGTCGATATTATAAATCTATTTATAAACTATTGCTTCCTACTTCAAAAATGACACGAACTTCTTAACAACTTCCTTAACGTCATTGCATCGATGCACGTGTAAACATCACAATCTATTCGTGAATATCACGGATAAAATATATTATGTCAATGTAAGTCTTTCGAATTAATCAGTTTTTTTTCAAATGCTGACAATATTAAACACACATTCATTTGATCTTACAATGCTTTCACTGTCTATTTACATAGACAATACTTAAAAACATCTTAATAATTTTACAGGAATAAATGTGTCGTATTTTGCAAACATTAAAGTATAATACACAATAGACGCAGGTTTTCATTTCCCAATGACTATTAACAATTACCATTATGTAGTGTAAAAAGTATATTAAAATGGTACGATTGAGTCCGACGGAAAAGACGTATTTTGTAGTTTATTCTCATCAGAATTTCTCCAAAATATACTGTATACAATATTTTACTTTACGTATAAATATATACAGTTGTTATTATGAGAGCGCACTAGGTATCATTTAGTTACTTAGACACGAGATTGAGCAGTGCGCAACATTCTACTTCGTGTGTTTCAGAAGATATTCTACCTTCTCTTGTGTAGGTTTTTAACGTTTTTTTTGTCGTAGTATAGTGCTTGTGATATCCATTTACTTTGCGTCTAAGCACAGAGGTATAAATCGATTAATTTCTTCTCTTAAGATAACTAACAGCTTTAGTAATGTCCTGCCCACATCACTTGTATCGTGAAAATATTTACACTGTTTAGATTACTAATTAATGATTACGATACTCCAGAATAAGTTTAATAGGATATGAGATCATTGTTTAGGGGGGCTAATCAGCATAAACAATAAACTGTTGATTATCCACATCTGCAACTTCAACTTGAACAAATTGAGGTTGTTGAAGTTGAATTTGTTGTACTTGTCTTCCAATCGCATTACGTGACCTGTGGATTGGAAATTTCGTCTCATCACTTGTTCTGTTCTCAATGAAAATGTATAAATATAATAGTAATAATAATAATAAGAAGAAGAAGAATAAAAATGAATATACTTACTTAGCTTTTGCATGTGTTAATATATGTGATTTTAAATTCGTTGATTGTGCAAACTTTTTGCTGCATCCGTCAAATGGACAAACATAAGGTCTATCTCCAGTATGAATTCTAACATGAGTACGAAGATTAAAGTCAAGGCTAAACCTTTTGCCACATCCTTCAAATGTACATTGAAAAGGTTTTTCCCCCGTATGAACCAACTGGTGCCTTTTCAATTTTGAGCTTTCTACAAAAGCTTTTCCACACTCTGCACATACGTGTACTCTTGGTCCATGAGTGTGCAAATGTTTACGCATTGCACTGTTATCTCTAAACATTTTTGTGCATCCTTTATGTGGGCAAGCTATAGTGCGTTCAACGCCGTCTAAAACAGGAGGCTTGCGTACTTTCAATTTGTGACCAGGTCTAGCAAATTCTGCCAACTGTTTTGGATCCGAAAGGTCAAGACCTGGCATTCCATCAGAAATGGAGCTTCCAGAGTGATTGAATTTGGCATTGGATTTACCAGTCATATATTCTGTGTAGTCTGGATCAGGCTCTGGATTTGAGCCTTCATCTGGAACATCCACCAGGTGAGGAGCTAATAGGACACTCCCTTTAACAATAACAAACAAGCAGTCCCAAACAAAAGCTACTGTATTTGTTTTTTTTTTTTTGCTATGTAAATTATGTACTTTTTATCATTAAATGATAATAATATAAATTCTTACCATGTAGTAAATTTATTTTCACAAATTTACATATAAAATCAAACTTATAATAATACCTTTTTCTGATTACTAAAAACTTTTTTAAAATTAGTAATTTATACCTTTTATATAAAAACCTGTTCTACTGCAAAATATTTTTGTCAATACTGTATTTAAATATAGCATAGCAAACATAAACTCCACATTAACACATCATGTACCATAAACAAGAAACCTTATTTACAAGTATCTTAAAATAAAAGAGGTAAATCAAAGAATACTATTTTAAAGAATTTTTAGCATAATTATAATGTTTGATCCATTCTTGGTAATTTACAAAATATTTATTTTAATAAAATACATTAGATAAATATTAAATACTTAAATTTTCTACATAATGTAAAATATTTAAACAGTATAATAGTATAATATGATCTTCCACTAAAAACTACTGGTACATAATGTATTAACATGACCTATACATAGACATAAAAATAACATTTTATCTATAGATTTTATATTATAAACATTAAAACATATTAAAATGTACTCTGTAATTCTGTCAATCACTTTATATAATATTGCAATCAATTAAAAATGAAATAAGCAATGTATTTGTTAATTAGTATTGCAAATTTTCTCTTTTCTCAATTATCTTGAAATGTTATACATGTATAAAATTTTATTGTGGCAAAAATTAAAATAATTTCAATTTTTAAAGCAACTGTTTAATTACGAATTTCTTGGAAAAGGGATATAAATTTAATAATAAATGATGTAAGAAGTAAAACATTTTTCATATTAAAAAAATACATAACATTTTTTAAATAATTATTCTTCTAAAACAATCATATATACACATTTCCTTCATCAGAAGCATACAGAAACCAATACAAACAGGAAAGAAAGTGAAAATGAAATAAAATAATTTATTAAAGAGCGACAAAGATAACATGAGTACAGAGCTTTGTTCATTCTCCGCCATTATCATTCAAGAGGATAGCTCCAAGTAAAAGAAGCCATTTTCAAAATATGGCTGCCCCCTGGCAGCATAATGGCGTTCCCTCGATCAAAACAAACAACGCAAACTGTCAAAGAATTCATTGATAATAAAGAATCGGAGCATTTCGATAGTTTTTTTTGGTAAACTTGTACGAAAAGCATAGTATTGATTTGAGACCACCGGAAGTACGTACGAACCGTGTGCGTGGAGATACCCGTTGCAACAGTTTTTTTTAACGAACTAATTTCAGTGCATATTATACGAGAGTTAACAAAAGGTTAGATGTAAATGGAACGCTTACCGTCATCGGTGCCCGATGCCCACATCGTCACCGAGAATTCACCTTCGAGCGTCTTGATTTGCACTTGCTTCTGCTCCCACTTTCTAGCCTTCGTTTCCGAGCCCATCTCCCCAAAAATCGTATGATCGGACGTTCTGAATTTCGACGAACCACTCTTTCTGGCCTTCTTGGGACCCTTTCTTGATGGGCCAGGACTTGACTCGACATAAATATCGTTCTCTGGTACCGGGATCTGATCGTACACGCTCAACGGATCACTGCCGACAATTTCCTCTTGCGTCTGTAGTATGATTTCTTCGCGTCCTGGTTCTGGAAGCGTTTGAAGAGCTATCATCGGTTGTCCATCTTCTCCCTCGATAGTAGTTTCCACGGTCTCACAGGGTATTTCTACCGGTATCGTTTCTATTTCAACCTCTTGGATATCTGGTTGAATCTCCACTTCGGTTATTATGTCCGAGGACGCCATATTAATCTCCGAAGACGCCATGTTACTAATCAAAATGGCTGGCCACAGTTAGTCGCGCGCATAGACATATACAGATAGACTGCGCGCTCCGTGAAAGAAGTTGAAATTGACACAAGAGAGAGAGGATAATAATTGTGGTCGTTATTTCTCTTTCTCGTATATGTAAGTTGATAAGGGGTTGCGCATGCGTGCGATTGCTGGACAGAACTCAAATGTGAGGGGAACCGTATTGAAGGAACCCAAATTGATTGGTTGCTTGCCTGCGCATGGGTTGTACCGCCAATTATAAAAAACTATTTAAAACTCATCAATTAATGCGGATTTTTAAGTTAATACCAAATAAGCGATTATATTTTTATACAAACACACTACTTTTGTAATTTAAATATTTAGAAATGTTTAATTTATAGGCTATAAAATTTACAGATTTTACAACTTAAAGATTTACGTGTCTTCCAAGTAGAAACTTTAAATTTTTCATTGCAGAAATGTTCAAATTTTGAAATTTCGAAGTCCCAAATGTAATTTAAAAAATTTCTTTGATACATTCAAAGCGTAATCTTCCTCCTAATCATTCTTTAGTCGCTTTCCCTCACTCTTTATAATGTACAAGTGCGGGAACACTACCATGGGACTATCTTTATCTTTTAGTGTCAACTTCATCTTTCCTATAAAAGAGCGCAGTCTATCAGTGTTTATGACCGCGCGACAAGCGGCATAGTGTTAACTGATCACGTGACATATTCCTACCACTATTGTCGGTAAAGTGGTTGTCATTCAAAGCCTTATGTATCCTTCCTTTTCTTGTTTTTTAATAATTCTTCAGTAAAAATGTTTATTTTGTTTTTTAAATGAATATAAGCGTTGTTCATAATTTACCAAAGTGTAATATTAATTATATTCTGTAATTAGTTATTCTGAGATCTGTCCTTTCTCTTTTTTCCATATCATTACTCCACCTGCAGGGAAAATGAAGTAATATTTTCACTTGATAGTCTTCAGTTTTGATTTGATATGTTATAAATGTGTTCTTTGCATTACTATTTCATTTACTTTTCACTTATATCGATATCTTTATTAATCTTAAAATATATTCAGATATAAAGTAATATACAGAACGATATCTATAGTGTGTATTTAGTTATTTGAATAAAAATAAAGATATAGGTTATAAATTTTAAGTTGTCATTTTCACAATGGACTTGTCAAAAATTCCAAATGACAAGAAACTATACCTTTGCAAATGGTATTTTCGAGGTAAGTGATATATATTTATTAGAATATTTTATTTATTAGTACAAATATTTATATTATGTTTCTTGGTGTGTAGTTGGATTTGCTCTTCTGCCATTTTTATGGGCTGTGAATGCTGTTTGGTTTGTCAAAGAAGCTTTTTTTGCACCACATTATGAAGAACAAAAACAAATTAAAAAATGTAAGTTTTTATGAAGAATGGAGTTTTATAGAATTCCAGAAGAGACATGTCTTTATTTCAGCATTATATTTCTTTATAAGTTTTTTGATATAATGAAAATTCTTTGAAATTTTTAATACAGTGGTAAAAAATAGTTGCTTAAGTGCCAATTATAGTTAGCTTATATAAGAAAGAAAGTAAATATGTTATATATTGATCAGTAATATTGCTCATTTAATACTGAATTTGTTAATGAATTTTCAGATGTAATATTCTCTGCAGTTGGGGCTACTTTATGGTCAGCTGCTCTTTTAGCATGGATTATCATATTTCAAACCCAAAGAGCAGCATGGGGTGAAGTAGCAGATTCTATTAGTTATATAATTCCAACAGGCATTCCTTAATGCTGTGATATAAATGTCTTTAGTTAAATTTTAATAAATATTATGTATTTTCTAACAAAAAGTTTAAAAAAGACTGTTTTGTTCATACTTGGTATTTGACTAAATAACAATCTTCAGTGTTATAAAAAAATATATTATTTATTTAAATGCAGTGAAATTAAATATTTCTAAAACTTAATAGTACATAAATTTTTAGATATACTTACAAAGTACAACTTTTTATACATTTTATCATATTTATGGAAAGCTAAAGTTACAAATACATATTTGTATAATTTGTTTATTTTCATAGTTATCCATTATTCTTTACCTGGTGAAAAAGAATAAAGTTAAACGGCTCTTATTCGTCGTCTGTACATTTGTATATCCTTGTATACTAATCTGGACAGAAACTAAAACAAATAAAAGAGTGAATTAAAATTGGAAATATGTATTTATTAGCACTTACAGATTCGGTATTTAATATAAAATAAACTTACTAATAATGCTATCATATCTGCAATCATAAGCATATAAAATACATTATGCCAACCAGCCCAACGTGACACCAAACCTGCTAATAATGGACCAACAGCAGCACCAATACTGCCTGTACCATCAATAATGGCAGTAACTGTAGCTAAAGCTTTAGAGTTATCTCCTAAACTAGGATGAGTTCCTAGGTCAGCAGACACGGCAGTTGTTATTAAGGCATATGGTCCATTTACTAATAGTCCAGCTATTAGTAATAATACTATGTTGATTCCCAAACTCGTGCTTCCAACATAGTCATATATAAACAACTGTATAATAAATCATAAAAAATGATAGACTACAGAAGTAAAGAATTACTAATCTAATATTTTTTAATATTGTAGTTAACGAATTAAAAAATTATGAACTAATTTTTAAACATTTTTAATATGGACTGAACAAAATAATACATACCACAGGAACTGCAAATCCAAGCATAACGGCACACGTTAAAGCACTCATGCCGCTATAATCGGATAAGACACCAGCTGCTATTGCACCTGCAATACCGCCTACGTCAAATAAAGTGGAGATATCTGCACTTAATGTTGCACCGTAGGTAGCTAAAAAAAATAAAAATATATATAGTAACTGTTAATATAACATGCTAACATATAATTATGATTCAGTATAATTCACTAACTTGAAGCTGCAATATATAATGGCAACCAGTACAGGAATGTGTAGCTTACAAGTTTTGCAAAAAATAAAGAAAGCGAATATTCTATGACTCCAGGTATAGACAAAGCTCCTATAAATCCAATTGCATTTCCTCTATGAGATTCTTGTACATGTCTTTGTCTTGGTAATATTGGACTAGTTTCAGATCGCAAACTTGCCAAATCCTTTCAAAAAATGCATAAGGATAAATAATTAATAAAAAATATATATATATAACATTTTTTTTATAACGAATATTACAGAAATTATATAAATATTAAAGTAATATAAATAATGGAATGCAGTTCATGTTAATGCAGTTAAATAAAGTCCAGTATTCATTGTTAAAAAAAAAAACAAAGCATGCACTTACATCAACATTAACTTGTTCATGGTAGACACAGCGATAGACGAGACGCTAAGTACAGCAAATGAAATACGTTTAGTGAGCATATAGTACATCGACAAACAAAGAGAATAAAAAGGTATACATAACTTATTAAAGAATTACGTAATTTCGAAATTAAGGAGTTAATGAAGACTTAAAAAGATACAGCTATTAAAACAAGGAAAGATAAAATTAATGCTGACTCATAACACTTTAAATTGTATGCATGAAATGTTCTAAATAAATTTTCATGCTTACATTCCAATACTAGATAACAAAAAATTATATATAATTATTATTCATACATAACATGCTAGTAGTTACAGAAAATTTTGTTGAAAGTATTTTTAACTCACATCTTCACCATCATTACATGACTGCTCACAATCTTCTGCTCCACTGTCTTCATCTGAAGTATGAGTTGCATCAAATTTTCTAAATCTAGGAGAAATAGGTGGAACAAACCCAATATCTATAGGATTGGGTATTAGAAAAAGAAATATTATAAATCCCACAACACCCATTACAGCTCCAGGTACCATAAAACTTAGACCCCAATCAGATTCCACAAATTCAGCAGCAATTAAACTACCCAAAATATTTCCCAGAGAGGTGTGAGAATTCCATATGCCAAAGATTAAGCCTCTTTTTCTTTTTCCAAACCAATTTCCTACAACTGTAACTACTCCAGGCCAACCTGATGTTTGGAAGACACCACCAACTGCCTGAACAAAATAATAATGATAATACCCATATGTGAACAAATAAAAAATTATCTTTTAAATATTTACCTGTACTAAAACAAAATACCACAAGCTATGGATATTGTATGGTCTAGCAATACCAAACAGATAACAAGATATACCTGATGCAAGCATACCGAATGCAAGGAAATAGCGTAAATTTACTCTTTCTGCTATAAAACCACTGTATAAATAAATATAAAATTATTATCAAAATAATATTTATGATTTATATATCATATATAAGCTCACTTTAAAGTGTCACCTGAGGAACATGGCTGCAGCATATGTAAACAGGAATGCTGAATCTAATATGCCAAGCAATGCTGGAGCATCCTCAGTATCTACAAATATTATATTTTACTTAAACAAGATTATCAATTAAATGTTGATCAGATATTTTAATTCATAAAATTATATTTACCAAATGGAGCCCAATCACACCATGTATCTCGATTAGTACTATTAATAACAATGTTTGGAGGTGGTGATAAACTGCTACAATTGAAACTTAATACATTTTTTACAACTGATATTGGTTTTCGTGTCATATGATAGCAGGTATATGCCAAATATGTTAATGCTAAGATACCACCTTGATGCCATGCCATGCGATTGACACGGCGATAAGAACAACATTTTGAAGATGTATGTTGTAATATTTGAATACCCCATGGTTGATCTCTTACTAAACCACTCATACTTATTGAATTAAACTTCTTTTTTATCAACTGATGTATTATTATGAATATTACAAATATTTTAGCTTTTAAAGAAGATCTACTGCTTTGTAAGTTTATTTGTACTTTTTTAATTTAATTTTTATCTTTTTATAAATCACTGCATGTGTTGTCTGTATCATTTAAAATACAAAATATTTCCATTCCTTTATATTAATACTTTAGAAAGAATCACAGAAAATATTGTGCATTTTTTTTACATAAATGTTTTAAATCAATAGTTAATCACACAAATTTTCATTTATATACAATTCCACTTATCAATCACAGTATAATTACTTCAACAGATATGACATTGATATATAAGACTATTCACAATACTATTATTAAATACTTCTAATTTTATGTTATCACAAAGAAAATTGAAAATAGCAGTATCAATATCAATACTTTATATTCTCTTTGATTTCCTCAATGTCATATTTATACATAATTATTGCACTTATCTTTTTCACTGATATTTCTATCACGTCCACAGTTTTAATTTATCTATAGAAGATTGGTATTCATATGGGAACCATAATTAAAAGCTGTATAAATTAGATAAGGGAACAGCTATGATTCATAACCTACAACAAAGAAAACAAAGCTATATACAATATTATCACTTATGAACATATAATTGTAATGTTGTTTAAATTGTATACATTATATTGTCATATTATTATATTTTCACTAATATTAAAAAGTTATTAAATTAAAACACTATGAATCAAATGGAATGTTTACTTTTGTATATAAATGAGAAACAACATATAGTTACGCGTAAGCAATGAACATATGTTTTAGCTGGACGTATTATATACATACGTAGCTTTTTTTGAATATAGTAACATATGTAATATTGAAGTCGTAAAAAACATCAATGTTTCGCGCAACTTGAAATAAGCTCAGCACTTGCAATTCCTCTTTCATGAATCACTTTCTACTCTATTACTTGCATACATGGCGAACAAAAATATATGAAGAGAGAAAAGAAGCGATGACGTTAGAAAGATGTACCGAACAAAAATTTACTGGATATATGTGCACGGCGTTACAATCGTCTTAAAAGCACATGCGCGTTGCTCTTGGTTACGAGGTATGTTTTAACTAATCAGAATTAACATGCGCAGAAGGAACAAAAATTTGTGATTCATAATCTTCTCTTGTAAATTAATTGTACAGTGTTTTTTTTTTATAATGTAAGTAACATTTTATATACATATATATGCTATGTGTGTATATATGTGTATTATTGCGTTTTTCCATTTTTTGTTTAAGAAATAACATTTTTCAAAATGATTTTAAAATTGTAATTAAATAAATTTTTATAGGCAAATTCATAATATTAGGCAGAATAAACGATAATAAAACAAAATATTGAAATAAGAAGAAAAACAGTGTTGATATTTCATTATACTGAAACATTATGTATATCAAAATTATGTTTTGCTTCTCTGTTTATCATTTAATTTTGTATTATAGATATGATGATTTCTGATGATTATGAAGCTATCATTCAATGGCATCCAGAAATGATATTAGTTTCTAAAAACCCAATGACATGGCAAGGGTTTATAGTAATTCCTTGTAATTCAAATTCAAAACAAAATATTCGAATCAAATTAAAATTGATTGTACCAAATTATCCTTCACTATGTAATGCAGAAATTAATTTTGGTAGAGAAATAACACTTATACGCAATAAAGAATTTAGACAGAGGATTAAAAGTTTAACACAAAGTACAATCAAAGTATCAGTATTTTTAAGACAATTACAGTCATTAATAGTGAGTGTTGTAATTTTATAGAACATTGTCTATGGCATATTTGATGTTATTACATGTAATAATAATAATAATAATATATTTAAACAGACTAATTTTATAAGTACAACTCATATCATTGAAAATGATGAATATGAGGCAACAAATAATAAAGTAGATGAAATGTTACAAGAATTACAGGATGTACTTCAAACTCCATCTGTAGGTATAATATTTACAGTAAAATGACAAATAAGATAATCTTTTATTAATTTTGTCAGAAATAATTGAACAAGATAGATATGAAAATTATATTGTTAAAGGAAGTTAAGATATTAGCTGACAATACCTTAAATACTATTAAATTATCTTTGGGAAATGTGGCTATAAAATTACAAAAAACAAAATATGGAATTTATCCATGGACAGTTATTGACTCAGATTTACCTGAGATACCTGCATTTGGACCCTTTCAAAATAATATATCAACATTACTTGTAGCAAGAAATAAACTTAAGTTGCAAGTGGAAATGCTTGAAAAAGTTTGGTCTAATCTGAAGCAAATTGATGAGTAAGCACATGAATTTATTTAATAAGCATTTTCTTTTATATTTTTAGTTTAAACCACATGAGATTTTTGAATAAGCAGGAATTGTTGTGTAATGGATCCATTGCAACCAAAGCCATGTCATCTTTACCGACGAATTTATTTAACACCCTCATTATCAATGTTTATTAAAATAGATCCTCTAAATCCTATGGATTTACCAGAAATTAAATTTATGGGTAGCGAAACAGAAATTGAATTAAAAAAGGAACTTGTTTCTAAGAATTTACATGTATGTAACATAAATATCAACATTAATTTTTAACTATTTTATATTAAACTCTGTATTACAATGTAACAATTCTAAATATTGTGATTTTTTTAGAATTGGAATTCAAGTTTAAACATTATAGATAATTTAATGATGTTATTAAATTTAAATACATTTCCCAGAAAAGAAAAAAAAGAAATTTTTCTGGATGAGAGTACTATTGTTACAGATGAAGAATGTTGTATTTGTTTTTCTTTAGAGTTAGATGATAAAAATTTACCTGATAAAATTTGTAACAATGAAAAATGTAAAAGACATTTTCATACATCTTGTTTGCTACAGGTATATTTGAATAAACATAAAATAATTTTTAATTTAAGATATTTAAAACCGACACAATATTAACCAATATTTATTTCACTTTTTAGTGGCTACAAGCAGTTGCTGGTAATCATATTGTATTTGATCATATACATGGTACATGCCCTAATTGCCAAGAAAGCATATCATGTTGCATTAAATAGGAAAATTAAAACATTAAAAATTATCCAATGCAATATTTTTTTAACTTATTATTCAAATACATATATATGCATACAATTCATACTTACTGTCCATTGTTTAACAGAATTGTTAAATTCTTGATTACCACATATTAAAATTAATGTTGTGTTGGCAATACAATTTTTAAGTACTTCAGAAACTGATGTGTTACTTAATCTACCAGATTGTATATTTATACCATGAAGATCATAAGCATTACCTAAAATGTAAAAAGAATACCAAAGCTTTAATTAAGTATACTTTCTTTTATAAATAAGTATTATCACCAAAAAATACTATAAAACGTATGTACACCAAAGATTTGATATATTTTGATAATATCAATTAATAATATTATACTTTATATTTTTAAAAATAAATATAATACTTAAAATACATAACTTACTATGCAATTGTGATATATATAATGTACATTTAAAATTCCAGTAATCTGTTAAGGCCTGTAATTCTTTTTTCAAGGGAATCTGTGATATATTTTGAAATCCACCAATAAGATGAACCCTTGTTTCCTCTAATTCATTATTTACAATTGAATTTGCTAGAGAATAAACTGCTGTTATTCCAGATCCCATAGTAAACATGATAATTTTCTGAAAACTAAAATAATTATTAGTTATATGTAAATAATATTCTATGTTTAATTTATTAATAATAAACAAATGTTACATATATTATTCAAAGCAATTTGTACTTAATATAGAACTAATAAAAATTGATGCAGTAATTAAATTGATTATAATTTCACAATCCACATACCTGTTACACTCATATTTAAGATCTCCATAAGGTCCTCTTACATTAATTTGATGACCAACTGTTATATTTCTTAAATGAGTACTAAATTTTCCATTAAGATAAAGTCTAATTAAAAATTCAATACTATCATCTGTAAAAGAAATTGGTGTGAATGGTTTGGTAATGTCATTTAGATGTAACATAACATGTTGCCCTGGATAAATTAATATTTTCTTATTATTGCTCGAATTGTTTTCTGTAAATAATAAACAGCTATTATTAATAATAAATGTGGCTTAAATAGACTACAGATGTTTATGCATTTATATTATATAAAAAGCTACAAAAGATATATAAATTATAAAATGTAAAAAAGATAGCATAATATTTCTGATAACAAATGTTTCAAAGAAGAAAATATTAAATAAAAATACAGAAAGAAATCTATAGTGTAGTCTAATTATAAATTATGAAGTGAACTAATATTTTTATACCTTGATATTTCAGAAAAAGTAGAATGTAACCATCAGAAATCTCCTTTATATTAGTGACTACAAAGTTTTTGTATAAATATGGACACAATAGATTTTCTTTATTTTGTATTTTTACATTTTGCTTTTTTCTTCTGTAATATTCTTCAAGTAGCTTTTTATGTATATCGAAAATGCAAGGGTCACATGCATTATGACAGCAATCTTCCTCCGATGGAGTTGCTGGTCTGCTATTCTCACTGTCACTTTCAAGATACATACTAATACATGAAACAGTTTTTTTATGTATTACACACACATATTGCGGATAATCAGCTGTTAGCCGTCCAAAATATTTCGAAATATTAACCTGTACAACTTTTGTAGAATTTTCTACAATATGAAACTAATATGTAACTCATAAAGATAAATTATGTATTTCAATAACATTGAAAATCATAATAAAATTATAATGATTGTGTCATCGAATGCAATTATCTGTTAATCGACAATGACGTAGCATAAGACAATGATTCAAACAAAGAGTTAAACAATACTCAACATATTAAAAGTTTTATACCATTTTTATAATGTATACGTGTTCTAACTAGTTTTACAACATTTTATCAGTTTAATATTATACTTCCGTATAATAAAATTAATTCTGTTATATTAATGTTGATAATATAGTGTTATATCATTCTTCACAGTATTATTTTTAACAAATAAAATGGAAGGTATAAATATTATAGGATGGAAACGGTATACACTGGTACAACCACCTTTAATGATGCTAATATTTGCTCAGTCAATGTCAAGTAATTATATATTATATAATACAATTAATATTTTATTGTGAAATAGCATTTCAAAATTGTTGTAGGATAATAATGTCATAAGAATAATAAAATCATTATGAAAAGGTTTGGTTGTAAAATAAATGATAATGCTTAAGTTGTCAATTATTAATTGAATTTCAATTATTATATAATTTGAATTTGAATTTTAGGTAATATTTTAACAGATTTGTTAGTATATCGTACATGTAGTATAACATTAGATATCAATAAAACAGAATGTTTGCTATTACATGAAAATAGCAGTTGTGCAGAAGCATTGAAACTAGATACTCAAGTTCAACCAAAAGCAAGTTTAATTTTAATGACTAAATCATTTATCGAGAGTATTATACCTGCTTTATTGTCTTTATTTTTGGGACCATGGAGTGATCTATATGGAAGAAAACCTATTATGTTATCAGGATATGTTGGTTCGTATTATATATTGTAAAAAATGAAATATAACTTATTCAAATGATGATTTATGTCATAGGTATATCAGTGGCGTATCTTATCCTCTCTGTTATGACTATTTATGAAATCAGTCCATGGTTTTTATTAGCTGCATATATTCCATATGCATGTCTCGGAGGATTTTGCATAATTTTATTAGGTACTATTTGTTATATTTCTGACATATCAGATGAACAAGAAAGAGGGTGGCAATTAGCTTGGATGGAAGCTTTAATATCTGTTGGCATTTTATGTGGTATATTAATCGGTCCTGTTATTTTTCGAACATATGGATATGTAGCTGTATTTGGTAGTGCTACTGTATGCTGTATTCTAGCAGGATTACATATTTACTTTTTAGTTCCTGAGACTATGTATAACAATAATTCAGTATGTATTTTATGTTATTTCAATAAGCAAGTTAGTTAATTCATACTTCTTTTGTATGACTATACAATAAGATAAATATAATTTTTTTTTATTTACAGATAACTTTCAGAAGTATGTTTGATATATGTTTAGTTAAGAAACTTGTTAATACATGTATTCAGAAAAGAGATGGATTTAACAGATACATAGTTTGGTGCTGTATAAGTTCCATTATATTAATGGCTATAGTTTTGCAAGGAGAAATGACTATTGAATATTTATTTGCAAGTGCTAGACTTGGTTGGAATGTAAATGAATATTCTATTTTTCTGGCTACTACCATAATGCTAAAAATTTTAGGACTTTTGTTTGGTGTAAAAATATTAGTAACATATGGAGGTATAGAGTTGATCACTTTTATAAATATTAAATACATATAAAATGTTTGGTAGAAAAACATTTAACAACAAAATATTTTATAGGATTTTCTGAAGAAGTAGCAGCTATATTATCATTGTTTTCTTGCTTAAGCAGATCTATAGTGGAAGGTCTTACGTTAAAATCGTGGCACATGTATTTGTCTGCAATTGTAGCAATGTTAAGTGGCGTTGCTAGTCCTATGATTCGTGCTATATTATCTAAATCAGTGCCTTCAGAAGATACTGGTAAAAATCAATAGATAATTTTAGACATTCACAGTCTAATCATTATATAATATTTATAAAATTTCACAGGTAAAGTGTTCTCTATGACAGTTTCTATTGAAACGTTGACTCCATTTTTGGCATCTTCTTTATACAATATAATTTATTCATACTTTATGCCTCCTTTGTACCCAGCACCTGTGTGGTTTATATCTGTAGTGATATATATCATTGTGATACTCTTACTGATAAACATAAAAATGCAAAATGCAAGATCTAACTCTGTAAGATATGTACCTGTCTCAGAAGTTAGTGAAATGTCGTCATAATTTTATACAAATATTGCAACTCTATAAAAAATTGTATCTACAAAACATATTATGAATATAAGTATATTTTTTATATTTTATAATAATGTAGCATGAATATAAAATAAAATATCATTTATTTTTATTAATTTTTTAATTAAAACGTACATTGATACACATTTTTAAGTAATCATAATTGGAATGTGAGTAATTTATATTAATTAATTCTTAAATATTTTATTACAATATTACAAATCATCATAATAATCAACATGATCACCAGATTCGTATTTGTGACTTTCAAGAACTTTCAAGAGCCGATTAACAGTTTGCTCGCAAGTTAAAACGGTTCTTTTTGTTAATAGATCATTAAAATGTGATTTTACTTCTTTATCACTAACTTCGTTACAAACTTGATGATACATATCAGTTTCAACTGGACCCGGTGAATAATTCAATACATCTACTTCTGGATTTTCTACTGCAAATACCTGTGTAACGAATAATTTAATGAATATAAAATAGTTTAATATTACAAATAAATACTTAATATTAATATAAAATTATTACTTTGAAAAACATTTCACGTGCTGCTTTTCCAGTACAATAATAACCTGTTGACTTTGTTGGTTTTAAACCAAGTAATGAAGAAATATTTATAACTGTCTTTTTGGTATTTGTAGTTTCATTAAATATTTGCATAACAACTCCATTTAATATAGCAGGAACAAAAACATTTAAATCATAATAACTGTGCCAAATATTTATGTCAGTCATATCATTTGTCTTTTTAGTGAGATCTCCCATGGTACCAACATTATGTACTACAACTACTTGATCAAATTGTGTTACAGTCTTATTCTTTAAAGACTGCATTATAACATCTGAAAAATGCATATACTGATTTCAGTTGTCATAAAAAGAGAAAAAAAATTAATAAAGAAGTAAATAATCTTATACACATGCTTTTACAAGATTACCTAATTATTAATTAGAAACACAGAAATATTTATAGTGTTCTTCATGTGCAAATTAAATGTACACATATATTTACCATGTAATTCACCTTTTGTTGCATTACTCAAATCAATGCTAACAGTATCTACAGATACATTGGAAGAAATATTCTTAGCAGTTTCTTTTAAGGCATTTAAGTTTGTTGCTAGTAACAAAACATGTGAATTTCCTCCTAATAGTGAACCAAATGTAATTGCAATTTGTCTTCCTATTCCACGACTTGCACCAGTTACCAAAAGAAATACATTTCCTGATAATGCTTGGACTGGCATCTTTTTTTTTTCTTCTATTCTTTTAAACAATAATTTTCAATCGGTTTATTTATTAATGTGTCTGCTGTAATCTCCTCTTCCTGTTCAGATTCTGTTACAGTTTGAAGAATATCTGCTTTTAAAAGATGAACCAATTCGCTAGCTGTTACTGCCTAAAATTTTTAATGCAACAATATGACCATAACTGAAATATTCCATAATATAAATATTTTAATATGCATATTTACTTGTAAATGTGGGGCTATATGTCTTATTAAAGGATTTGAAATTAGTTCTGTGTCCTTTTCACATTCAAGTTTACATTCATTAGCTATTAAACGTGCAATAGTTTCTTCTTTTACTACAGATAGAGATGTTATAAGATCTTTCTTCGATGTACCTTTTTGAAGATTTTTAAGCCTGGAATCTATCATATAAAACCATAAAATATATACAATGCTATTAAGAATGTATATATACATATATTCATGTAACATTTCTCTATACAAAATTCTTTATTAAGTGCTTTACAAGTTAATTAAATTTTTATTATTTAAAAGTATATATATCAAAACAAAACAAAACAAAACAAAAATGAAAATTCATTATGTTTAAATAATATTTGTTGGTTCATTTGTAAATTATATAGATTAAATGATAACATATGGAAAAATTTGATATATATTTTTGAAACAAAATTAAAGAAAAAATCTACTTACAAAGTTTTTCCAAATATTCTTCTGAATCTGCAAGTTTTATATGTTCTGCATAATTTTCTATAAAAGAATCTTCAAAATAGTTTTCACAATTATCCTTTCCGACTTCTGATGTATCCGTTCCACACCATGGATCGCAAATGTCTGTCTTCATGATTTATATAAGTGCAAACTTTTATTATGCGGTTTTTTTCCTATCTTCTATACAATTGCGATAGTTCAGTATTTATGTATGTACTGTGCCTAAGACGAATAAAATTTATTGGTTAACCAGGGATGTAATTTAATATCTACATACACATAACGCACAATAATACTAATATATTACGTTATATACATTCATATTATGTTATATGATTATCTTTACATATAAAATCACAGTTATTAAATAAAAATAAGCACAAAATAAGATTGTATTATGTATAAAAGTTGTGAGATCTTACGTAAATTGGGAACGATTAAGTTATCTTTTTAATTTGAAAAATTATCTATTTGAATTAGATAATCAAATAACAAACATCACATATATGTGATATGCTTCGTAAAAATAGAGTTGAATGAGTAATTTAAAATGTCTTTCTTAAAAAATTGTTTTCATATGTCCTTCATTTTTACGAATCACATGTATGCACAGGAAGATGATGATAATTCGAATCAAAACCTAAATTTATATTGATTTGATTTTTAAAAATTTACTCGATTTTTTAAAAATGAACAAGTAATGAGCATTTAGGTCTGAATAATTGTAAAAGATGAATGACCAATGAGTACTCAGATTTCAAAACCTATATTATATATCTTTTATAATGTGTTAATAATATTCATACAAAAGAATTAAAAAGTATTTGAAAGATTATTTAAATAGTCATTTTTATTTTGCATTAAATTAATGCACAATTATTTCAAATAATATCTAACAATAGTAATGTTGAATATTAATTGAAAAGACATTATTTTAATAATGTCCAAGTCTGCTACAAATACTGAAAGTATTGGAATAAAACTATTACAAGTTATTAAAGATATAAAAAGTTTTTGACGAATAATTTATTATTAGTATATAAATATACAATCAAAGGATGATTGATACAAAATCAATTTGTCTAAAAAACATAGACTGATACAGAGAAAATGTTTACAAAAATATTGTTTACTTTATTACACTGTATAAGCAATTATTAATACTATTCATTGCAACATTGAGATATTTTCTCAGTCTATATATAGTATATATATATAGTTATGTGTATAAATACACATTACATACATACTGTGTTTACTTTGAATACTATATTTTTCTAATAATAATGACCAAATGATAGGATTTTATATACAAAGTTGAATTAATATATCAGAAATAACAATATTGTCCATATTAATGATTTAATGTATAGCATTAAATATCTCCGTCCTTTTTCCTTCATAATAAATATATATTATGGTGTAAAAAATGTATTTGCTAAACTGTTCAGTACAATTGTTATTTTAAAAATATCAAGAAACGTTCGAGATTAGACATTGAAGTTATTTAAGTGCAAGCAAAATGAATAAAATGGTAACCATAAACTGTTTACTGTGTTTTAATGCAATTAACACTTCTTATTAGTTTGCTTTCTAAACAGTATATTGAAATAGATTCTATGTCAACTTCTTAATAGTAACGAATAACTTGTTATATCCAGAAATATTGAACATACGCTTAGTTAGATTTCTTTGAAAGTATTCAGAGCAATAATATCAAAGATCCAGGAACATTAATTTCTTTAATAACAATGCTAGAAAACTGGAACATACTAAATTAAAAAACAGTTTCATACAGTTTAAATATATGTCATATAAAATTGATTAAACTATAAACATAGCTTAAAAGAACTCTCAAATATTAAATACATTCCCAGAATGTATAAAATATCTTTTGTTAAAATACAATTTGTCTGATACAGTTTTTGTATATTTAATTAAATAAAAGTACTTTTAAATATATTGATTTGAGCGAAAATTTGTAATTTTCAATATACAGTAAAAAGTAGAAATAACTGTAACAAGTAGACATTACATTCAATGTAAATACATAAATTTTAAAAGTATGTTCTACACTTTTTCTCTTAAATAATTCGAGGGAATTATTCTATTTTTCAACATTGATTAGTTTAAATATTTTCTCTGACTTATTGTTTCAAAAAATTTGTAACTTAATAAAGGAAACATTTATAAAACTATGTTTGTACATTTTTCTATCTTTCTAAGTAGTAGAACACACTTACAATATCTAAATAAACAGTGTAGAATACCTTATAACACAAATTACTTTGAACTAATTACTAAAATTATTTTGTTCAAGTAATTGCTGTTATAATAGAAGTATAGCTTTTAATTTTCTTAATCTTTTATCTTTTTCACTATTATTTTGGTTTAACAATTTTTGAAAGAAATTTCAGCTATTAAGAATTAAGAGCTAAATGATATTCTTCTTAAACACAATTAATTAAACTTTAATTCAAGTAATTTATGTTATAGTTTGACATTTCAGACTGTGTTAAATGGAAGTAAATTTAAGACATAGGAACAGTCTTACAATTTTTTATGTACAAAAACAACTATAGAACCTGACAAAATTTAAATTTTATAATCACAGCGCTCACTAATATTTTCAACAGTTCTTTTTTTAGTATTCTGTGAAAAGATTTTGACTATTAATATTTATAATAATTATATCTTATATGCAGAATAGATGCTAGAGTTTATCTGTAGTATATTGCTCATGCATGTATTATATGTATCATATAAAAATGTATTATTAAATAATTAATTTGATTTATATGCACAATAACAATGCAATATTGTAGTTTCAATGTGATGTGTATGCTTTAAAATATTTTTATGCATTCATAGTACCAATAAAATTTATAACTCTTTGCACTCTATTTTTCTTGTTTAAATAAAAGAATAATATCTATAATTTACTTTCTAATAGTATATGTTACTTCTTAATGTATTAAATATTCACTAATACATAACATTTTACCATAATAAATTATTACAACTAAGAGCATAAAGAGTTAACACTTGAAAAGTGAATTAGAATTTTTATCTCATAATGCAGCATGAAGAAGTGCATAGGATTAAATATGATTTACGATGTGATAATAACCATCGCGCGGCAATGATATTTTTAAATTCTAGAATTGATGATCCTATAGATAAAGAAAAAATCACAACCGGCAAGTAGCCAATTACACACTAGTAACAAAAATATAATTAATGTTATAATAAATTATGCCATATCTGGCTTCAGGAATTTTACGAACGGCATACGACCTAGTTATCAGAATTTAAAATCTTTTGTATTAGTAGAAAAAAATTAGAAAGTCATCTATCTTGTACAAGGCATGATAAGATTACTTACCAAAATAATTAAAATGTACAAATACAATTTATATACAATTACAAGACATGTCTAACCATTATATACATTTTAGCAAAATTATGTTGTTTTCTATTAAAGAGATCAAATTTTTTAATTAAAAAATATTTATAAGTATTGACAAATTCTGATAACATAGTAGTTGCACTTGATCACAGAGGATATTTTAGAGAGTTTAATAATTAATATTTATGCACCACTTGAAGGTCTTTCCCAACAACACAACCATCTACGCCATAATGATAAAGGTTTCCTACGCCTATATAATAAACTAGCACCACCCCTTCTTGTATTAAGAGCACTAACTATTGCTTGATCAAATGCTTCTTTAAGATCATGTTGGGTTAATGCAGATGTTTCCACATAACTTACAGCTCCTACCCTTTGAGCTAATTGATGTCCTTGAGTTGTTGTAATTGGTGTCTGACCATATCTTGCTAATTGTAATGTAAGGTGTACATCTGACCTTAAGTCACTTTTGGTTCCTACCTGAAATTGTAATTTAAATCTATGTTACATAATATATATTATATAAATATTTTAACTATATTTTAATTTAATTCTTATTCTTAAAAATATATAGTTTCATTACCAAAATAATTGGTGCATTTGGACAATATTTTCGGACTTCATTTATCCAGCGAGAAGTTACACTATGATAAGAAGAAGGACACACAACACTGAAGCAGACTAAGAACACATCTGTTTCTGGATAACACAATGATCTTAAAGGATCGAAGTCATCTTGACCCGCTGTATCACATAGTTGAACATTTACTGGTTGACCATCGACATTAACTACCACTATAAAAAATTAGAATCATGTAGAACCTATTATATATTTATAAGCTATTAAATTTAAAAGGGTAATAAATATTTTTGACTTGAATTTTATAACAAAAACATCACCTTATGATAAACACATTGATGACTTTATATATATTTTAGAATCATTTGAATATATAAAAACAAAGTTGTCTGGATTAAAAATAACTATGGTTTATTTATATTCTAATGTAAAATGAAATAGTTCAATCCTTCTTCCAGTTCAATTAGTAAATGTCATTTTATAAATTGCTGTTGTGGAAACTTACAATAAGATTATTACTAAATCTGATCTTACCAGTTGTCAGAAAATTTTCAACTAACCATTATAATTATCAAAAGCAGTAGGCACGTATTCTCCTGGGAAACCGTTTGTGGAATAAGAAACTACAAGACTGGTTTTTCCAACGGCACCATCACCTACTAGAACAACTTTGATTCTTCTGTCGAGTGGACCACCGTTGTGTTCCATCCCACCACCATTCGAATTCTGATTCTGCTGAGAACACATTGTTCGTTTCGCTTGCATCTGCATTGTTTGTCCATTCTTCAAAAGGGGTTTAGTCCAATTCGTATGCGACGACGGCGGCATTATTTTCTTGTTTGCTTTATCACATCTATAAGCTTTCATGCGTATACTTCCGAAATAATTTTATATATAACCTCTATCTAACGAAGAAAAGCGACAAAACGATTGCATTGATTACGGCACACATTTTCTTCGACAGGTCATTTTTCTGTTCTCCTACTGTCACTTGTGGCTGGCAAGAATACGGATCAAGTGTCGAATACGATGCCTTCAATACGCCCTGTCAGATATCGTGCACTGTGCGCATCGCTCGAAAACAATGGGGGAACATACACCGTCGTCGAAAGACAAAAAAAAAAGATACTGATCCACCTGCCGCGACGCGGAGCCACCTGTTATTATGCTTTTCTTGCGGCGATCACACAACCGGTGGCACAAGTATAGTTTCCAGCATGATATAACAATATCGTAAAACTTTTCAGAAGCTGACAAAATTTCTATTCTTCAAAATCCCACATTTTCATATAAATTAAAAAACATTCGAATTACGATATTTTTATATTTTTTAATTTCTACATTCGACGATTTGTAAGTTTGTAAATTTCAGAGTTTAAGAATTTATAAATATTTACATCCTTGATATATTATGGAGGTACTATGTATCATGCTTGTAAAAAATTGCTTTTACCTTGATCTTTTGTCTTCGTTTTAAACAGATATAAAGTTTAATATCTAATAAAATTTATAAATACATATGTCATTGAAAGTATTCATTGATTAATATATTCTGATATAACGAATTGTATATAGCGTAAATAACAATCAAATTTTATTAATGTATATATGTATTTACATACAATTTTTGGTAATGTAATGTACAATGCAATTATACAAATTTGTATTTTTATTAAAGAGAAATGTTTGTAATGTATATAAATATAAGAAGAATAGAAATTCTATTTTATTTGATTAGGTGGCGCATATAACACAACATTAATAAAAAGTGGGTCTTATATTTGTTGCGTTTGAAGTACCTTTGCTAATTTATTTTCTTTATTTCAATTTATTACAAAATTATCTCTAACACCTTGTATAAAATGTATTCATAACTTCATAACACTATATACACTTGTATAGTTAATGTAAAATCGACTTATAGTAAGTCAACAAGAATGTCGTATGTACATCGATATTGTGTATTAAAATCTATTAATTTTCACAAATGTATTTTACTATATAGAAAAATATATAAAATGAATTATATCATATACTAGAATCCATATGTGTATTTTTGTAGGAAATTGTGTACAGTTTCGACTAACCTAAAAGTACGGAAAGAAATAAGAACATTTTAGAACCATTTCTTAAATATCTTTTAATTTCAAGATGACAGTTTATAAAATTTCCAGATTAATGCAACATGTTAGGTTTGTGACTTTATAAATAATGAAATTAAAGTATTAAATACTTAATATTACTAATATATATTTTAGAAGAAATACTTGCAAGTGTTGCATAAATACATGTATACGTATGTACAAAAAGGTTTTTCAGAATTCCATTGAAACAAGGATTTTCAAGAACATATGTTTCAAATATAAACACAAAAGAACAAAAAGTTAAACCCTGGTATTCATTCATAAGACGATTGAAATGGAGTATTCCTATTGGAGTTGGAATATCACTATTAACAGTACTACAATGTAATTATTTTAAAAAATATCCAGACACAACTAAGGACAACAATGTGTATGAGCCAATTAATATTTTAGTGGTATAGTTTTTTTATTGCAATAGTAACATAATTCATAGATTATTTTTTATAAAATCTTATATGTAAAATGCAATAATGAGTTAAAAGGATTATGTCGTATAATATCTAAGATCCATTTGTACCATTATTCATAGATCATCTATATAAGTAAAACAATTTTGTAAAGAAGATTTGTATATTTCTGAAAATGTTGCAGATCAAATGTTATTATTTTCTACCATTTCGGACACTGAGCAAATTATGGGGATGGATAGCTAGTATAGAATTACCAACTAGTTTAAGACCAATTTTATATGAATTTTATGCAAAAACTTTTAATGCAAATTTAGAAGAAATTGATTTAGAGCTATCAGAATTTCCAAGTTTGGTTGATTTTTTTGTTAGACCACTGAAGTATGATGCAAGACCTATCGATCAGACATCAAATATAGTATGTATATTATTTGTATATAAATAAATAATTAATGTAAATAAGTTAATGTTTATGTATGTGTTTGTTATAGGTTTCACCTGCTGATGGGAAAGTATTACATTTTGGACCAGTAACTTCATGCTGTGTACAGCAAGTCAAAGGAGTGACCTATAATCTTAGACATTTTTTGGGAGATATAAATGTACTTAATTCTAACCACCCATTAAAGCTTACAAAAGAAGATGATGATTATTATATACAATCTCTTTTAACAAATCCAATGAATCAACTTTATCAATTAATAATTTATCTTGCCCCAGGAGATTACCACAGATTTCATAGTCCAACTGACTGGAACATAGAGTATCGTAGGCATTTTCAAGGTACTAGAGTTCTTTACTATTATTACTTAACTTTATAAGTATAATGAGTTGTAATTAATAAAATGAAATTATTTATTTTAGGAAAGCTGATAAGTGTTAATCCAAAGATAGTTCAATATTTACCAAATTTATTTTCGTTAAATGAACGTGTAGTATACATCGGAAAATGGGCTAACGGCTTTATGGCTTATACAGCAGTTGGAGCTACAAATGTAGGTTCTATAAGAGTTTACTGTGATAAGGAACTACGTACAAATGCTATCAAATGGCCCAAAGCAGAATATTGGAAAGAGGCTAACTTAGACTGGACACATTTAAAGAAAGGGGAATTATTTGGTGAATTTAGAATGGGATCTACAATTGTATTGCTATTCGAAGCACCGAAAGATTTCAAGTTTTGTATACAGGAAGGACAGACAATAAAAATGGGTCAAGCTCTATGTACGCGCAATGTTGAAACTGACGAAAAACAACATAAGCAGTCATTATGACTATTAATGAGGCGCGTTTCTTTAGACTGGAAATATGTTTGGAGAATAGGTTTAGAAAATTCAGTGATCTCATGATATGATATTTGTTTTTGATAGTATTATAATTATTATTTTTAAGCAAGAGATTTACTATGGAAATAACTAAAAAGAAAAATAAAACGAATGTTATAAATTTTTCAAAAATTTAATTTTTTGAAATTTTTACAAGTTTTATATAATAAACGAAGGGGAAAGTAATAAATAATTATTAATACTTGTTATTTAATATTTGAAGATTTGAAATTATTTTGATCAGGTTTATATATTATACGCTTACATACTTGTAATGTCGTAATCATATGATTTCCTATTATTAATTCAATATAAGCAAATCAAATGTTATACGAAACAGTTACAGTTACTATTTATGCTAGATCTATTATTGAAATAATTCTTTGCAGATTAAAAGTATAACTTTGTAATACAATGAAGGATATATGTATACACGACTCAATTTTCGAAAATCACTCAAAATAACTTTATATATGTATAAGTATTATTACTTAATGATACAATAAAAATGTCGGCATTAATAAATGTTTTTTTAAATTCTCATATTATTCCTTCCTTTAATAAAGATATTATATTCATCAACTTAACTGATGAAGATTTAGTATTTTCTGAATAAGATTTTATTATATACAGTGGACATGTATTGCAATGTATATCGCTGTGCGTTATATTGCTACACACCATATATCGTTATATGACATATGTATACTGCCACGCGTTATATCATTACGCGTATCACCATGTATTATATTGCTACCAGGTATACCGCCGCGCATCATATATCGCCATGTGCCATATATTGGTATGCGTACTATCACGTCATGTATTATATCGTCATGCGTTATATTATGTGTCATATATCGTCACATGTATCACATATCGCTATAAGTTATATATTATAATACCACTTGTTTACTCATTTAATTTGTGATAGATGTGTTTACTAAATTATTATCATCGATTTCGGAGCAATTGCGCGTAAAGTTGATAGAGAGTAATTTTCACGTCACATCGTGGAATAACACTTGACAGGGGGTTGATTAGTAAAACAGAAAGTTAGAGCCGCTGTTGCGTGTTGGTATCACGTTCCATCCACGACGACGACGTGGTTCAGTAAGCGTCGTGACGCTCGAGGTGCACGTTGCAGTTCGCTCGTCCGCTTGTACTCGCGACGCTTTTGCACTTCGCGAAAACGTGTCTCCACAAACTCGTGAATAATACATGTGTGATTAACATTGCGTGTTTTCATTAAATCCTCGTGGTCCTTGAAGAGATCGCGGTACTTTTTTTTTATCCTCCCTTTAACGTAGAATAATGGGGCTAAATGGGTGCTGATGGACATTTTCGAGTGACCTTGTCCTTGAAGAAGGAACCGGCTGCCGGTCCAGTTTACTGCAAAATGGAAACCTCGGCACGATTTCGGCAACTGAAGACTGTTAAGCTCAGCTGCGAGGCTACCTATCGGCTGGACATCAGTTTCAAACCGCCCCAACTGCTGGAGTGGGTACAGTGAATGCGACGATTGATGACGATTTTTTAGTCATTTTGTTAACACGTTGATTACCACAGTCGACTTATGTTGTCAGACACGTTATAACAGATTGTTAAGGACAGCATACATAATTTCCAAGTTCAGTCTTTTAATTTGTTAGCGTACGTTATAACTCGATGGTAATACTCGTTCCTTCTTGTTTATTTTTTAGTTAAAAAATTAATTTCATTGTAATACTAGTCATTGGTCCACCATGATAGTCAACACGTTAACAAAAGTAATTCTTCATTTCTTGCAATGGTTCATTTAATATCTCTTACAAGCAGAGTCGATCTCCTTTCTGATTTTTGTTTCACCAGTTTTGAGCTTGACTAAATACGTAATGTGAACCCGTGAAAAGATGCTGACATTTATTTATCAGGTAGGGGTTAGGATGCACCTGCTCCCCTTAATACAGACTGAATCCTGTCACGTAGCTTGCAGGATGCAGGGTGTAGAAAAGTTATCAAATTCTCGCATTTTTAAATTTTTAAGTTTCTGATACTCTAAATTTCTTAATTTGCTAGATACCTAATTTCATAATTCCCTAATTTCCAAGATTCCTAATTCCTAAGTTTCCAAATTTTCAAATTCCCAAATTTATAAATTTGCTAACACGAAATTGTCGAATTTGTGAAACCCCGAATTCCCAAATACCTAACTTTTAAACTATATTACACAGTGACCACTTCCATTTTACCGCATTGTTCGGCTGGTCTGACTGCGTACAGTGCTATTCTACTTGGCTTACCACATATGGATCTGTTCTACTTGTTTAACCACACGCGGTCTTATTCTACTCGACTAGCCACGTGTTTACAGATTATAGGTTTGGATTGATGTTAATAGGGTTCCTAGTTCACATCGTTCAAATATTCACTTCGGGCATAACTTGAATATTTGCCGAGGTGGTAAAGTTCCTCTAGTTTTGCCGTTAGTGTCAACAGCTTCGATCAAGCATAAATTTGAAGGATTCTGAAATTGAAACATTTGGAAGCTTAATTTATGATTTGGAAATCTGAGGATTTGAAAATTTGGACATTTAGAAATTCGGAAACGTAGTAATGTTACAATGAAACATAGTAATAAACATAAAGTCTGAAATATTTAGAGAATTCCTGCTTTTGGAAATTTAGAATTTACAAATTTTCCAACTCCCTACGTTGCACATTAATTAGTAAATTATAATGTAAAAATCGATAATTTTCCAGCGTACTCATAAATATCTCTAATCGTCCTAATCTAATCATGCGAAAGCTAGAAAGAATGTTATCTTATGGTACAATATACACGACACCATGTTTAGCTATAAAATACAAAATGTCAAAAGTGCACCAGAACATTGTTTCAACGATCTAGACCATTCGTTTGATAGACCTCATTCTTTTGCATTTAACGTTTGTTATTACTGCAACGCCGTATTCCACGGTGAAACTTAAAAGTATCGAACGCGGCTATAGACAAACCGTGGCACGGTTTATTTGAAAAAACTTTCTTGCATACTTTCGAACGTGTACTGAAGCAAAAGTAGAAAGGCGTGTTGAACCATTTAAAAAGAAGCAAAACGTGTACGTAGAAATTTGCATATTTGGAGGCGACTGTGCATGCACAACGAAACGCGAGCATTCGCAACAATTCGTGCACGATATCCAAGTATGGCCCCAGGTATCGCAAGATGCACATACATCATTCTACCGCTTTCGAGCTGTGATTCATTGCTCTTCAGAATGCTTTGAATTTTCGATATTTAAAACATAAATCTGGGAAAGTGTTATATTTCGCTCGATTGTGCGTAGCCATTTTTTTTTTTGAAGAAATTTGCATAACAAACTCTCACGGCTTTCTACTTCTAGTTACAAATTGATTAATTATTTGATATGATTTATTGTATCGGACTGTTGGATATATTATAACAGTTGGATTTGACTTAAAATAGATTTTGAATATTTTACATATAATAGGATACGAACTAACTAATGATACAATAACAAGTATTGCAAGTAATACAATAACAAGAACAGGAATTAAAACTGTTGAAGTAAAAGGTGATATAAAAATCTTGAATATGCAACACGTATCAGGAAATAGATATTAATATCAATAGCAGGTTTACCAAATGAAGGCTCGAACAAGAAGGTAATTTTTCGCTGGAGTCTCTGGAGATCGACCGTTCTTCTCCGAGAGTAATCCTACTATAGGAATAAGAAGTATAAAGTACCATCTTCCTGACCTTATAAAGCATTATGTATTTTATGGACGGTCTTAAGCCAAGGAAAAAGTAAAATGACATGAGAAAGAAGATCAGTTTTTATCCAACGATTCTTCATAAGTTATTATAGGTAAGGAATCATCCTCTCGCTGTTCCTGGGTAATTGGACCAAAAAGTTCTGAACGATGATCTTCGAATTAACGATAAACCTTGATCGTGGATATCTTTTGAGGATTACGGGATGTCACTATATGAGAATACTAATAGCCTGACTGCTCGTAACACAGGAAATAACCGCTACGATGACAAATGGGTGGACGTTAAAATATCCTTTTGGTTTGCTCGACAGGAGATCAATTGGTTAAACGACTTAACCCCTAAAACAGTGGCTCTCAAACTGTTGTGAATTGTTTTCCACTGAAATTATACGTAAGCCACGTGGTGCTTAGAATAGTGATCTTGTAAGTTAATAATGTAAGGAGGGATTTGGAAATATATTTTAAAAATTAAGTTTCCGAATTTCTAAATTTTTTAATCCGAAAATTTGTTCGATCAAGAAATCACCACAATCAAAATGACGATTTTCAATTTTCTGTGCATAAAATGTTCTACAAAAACGTCAAGGGAGAAAAGGCACGTTGTTCGTTAAAAAGAAAAAGTAATCGTGAATCTTTCATGGAACTTGCTTCGGGAGGAAAGAAAACTTCAAGTAGCGTGGTTCTAAAAAATTCACGAGGTCCTGGGGTTGAAAACACGTCAAAAAGTAACAGATTAGGCTCACCAGCAGAACCGACAGCGGAGTGTTTGCTCGAGGAATCTTCCTAATTAACGAATATTTGCTAAATAAACACCGGTGGACGGAATTGAACGCTCGTCGATAGACTGCATGAAAAAAAGAGAAAAAGCAACGAAAGGAAATTGGGAACAATTGGGGTTACCGTGTCAACAATAAGCAAGTTAAAGTTACAATATGTCCCGATGAGTACCTGTAATGGAAGTGTGCCAGGAAAGGTGAGAGCAGACCAGGTGCTGCCACGTATATACAATACGTATAATCGGGTATCGCCTTGAACTGTAAAACTTACGAATCGATTACGATTTTCATTCGGTTCGTGTCTGAAACAACGAATCCTTTAATGAATGCCGTCACTCGGATTTCGAATCTTTGCTGTGATTCTTACCACTAGAACTTCAGCTGCATTTACTACTAGTTTATTTTGACTGAAATTTGAAAACGAAAAACTTTAGTATACTTGTACATTCTTAGATTCGAGAAAATTTAAAAACTTGAGATTTCATCATTCAATTTTTTAACTGAAAAATTTCTATGTATTTTTTTTTAAACTTTCAAGTTTAAAAATCTCAAATTACTAAATTTAAAATTTCTAAGTAATTAAATATGATTTCAGAATTACCACATTTCTTAAATCTCTAAATTTCTAAATTAGAAAACGTGAACCTCCATGAATCTCGTGGCTGTTCGCAAGCTAGTGTTCGTGAGGCTCTTCAGCAAGCACTTGATTTACTCGTCACTGCTCTAAACTTCCTGTGCTCTCCCCCTACGCACTGTCTACCCTACTCGAAATAGTCCTGAAATCATGATTAAATAATTTCACTGAACATGCGTATAATATAATAAAATTTGTAACGATGCACAAATTTTCATGAATTGAACTGGAATTTATGGCTATTGATAAAACTGAACGAAATCGATTAACATTGACGTTTCGCGGTTGTTTTGGTCGTAAATAATTCAAATTTTCGTTCGAAATAGACGGTCTGGTGTAATAGAAACGTCTGAAGACGAACGTAATCGTACACGACTGCTCGAAATATCGACTGACATACTACTGCGGTTCTTCGGCAGGCAAGAAAATCAGGTGCTGTTCTTAGCACGAATAGCAACTAAAATTACTGCCTTACTAGCAATTACGATATGCGGATCGTTGTTGACGTTGGCGGGTAAACATGGGTTCGCGTGGCTAATATTAAATAATTATATGATAGCAGGAGAATATCGCATACCAACAAATAAGTTTCTGAATTATTTCGCTGTCGACTCGATGGTTGCTGATATTGACGTACCGTCGAGAGGAATCCATTTTCCTATTAAAAATAAACAATTTAATGTTTACCCTTTTGAGCTGAATAAAATTTATATTCCAAGCAATAACGAAGGTTAGTAAATTAATTAAAAATAGACATTGAGAGTATAATAGAAAAAAAAGCAATTGAACGATTCTTATGATAAAATGTATTAATAAATATTTTATTTCTTATTTTATTTTAAATAGAATGTTTGCAAGCATTGTATTAGTGGAAGATGATATTCGATGGAAACAATATACGGTTCTTGAATACATAATGGGTCTTATTTTATAGTATCATAACACTACATGTTAATATCAAAGCAAACATATTCATAGAGAAACACAACTTGGAATAAAGTTTTAAACGAGCACATTCGGTTCCGCAAATTATTCTGCAAATTGGTTGGCGATCAATGCGAAATTGGTTTCCCTTTCTCGACGTCCTGTGCACGCTAGTATTTATAAAAATACTACCTTTATTTCGCAATGTATTTCACAGTCCGTCTCCGTTAACTATTTCCAATTAAATTTGACGCGTCAAGCACGATTAAATATTTACAAATTACAATATATCTTTTTATTCGATAACGATAAAATATTACCTATATATTTCGCTAAAACTTCAACTAAAATATGCTAGCCGAATGAATATATTCTGTGGGGAAAGTCC